AATAATCAAAACTTGAGCTGGAAGTGAAAATCATCCCAATCGGCTACTATACTCTATTTTTCGAATTAAGTATTGTTTTCGTGATTATCAGAGTCAGCTCAACCCATATCATTGTGGGAAAATTCTTATTCTACCATTTCTTCATCACCTTAAACGAAATTGGGTGAATATATCCCATATTACTGATGTACTGGTAGTCACGAAAACTATACTTAATTCGAAAAATAACAATAGACGTGATCCTTGAATCACGACTATTGTTAGCTAACTAGCACTAGTTTTCACTGCTTCTATCCTCTTGTGTGCCAAACCACAAACGTTGTGGTTCAACATTGAACCTAATCACAACAAGCAGTGCCACAACATTTGTGGGTTGGCACACAAGAGACTAGGGCATGGGAAGTTATAGACTTAGTATTAGACTGTGTAACAATATAGCAGACTCTGATCAAGATTCCTAGCACAAGGGTGAAGGGGGTGAGAACGACAGCGTGTAGTGTGAATGGTTTTCATGAAAGCCGCTCAAAGAAGCACACCACACTACATCGAAATAAGCACGGTAAAAATTGAAAAAAGTGAAAGCGTGATAGGATGATATATGAAATTTAAATAGCCCAGGGCAGAAGGGGAGATACCACAACTGTTCAACACACGTTTGGTCAAAGGATTGGATTGACTTGTCTCTTTGACGAGTTGTTGAACAGTGCTTAGAATGGCGAGACTCACTGATAATGCCGACTACGATGCCGGCGGAACGTCTGGAAAAGTATCACGTCCAAGGTCAGACTTTGGAAATGATCATGCATACAATGGACTCCGGACTAGGTGTGTTTCTCTAGGTCTTCCTACCAATATGTCCAAGCTACGAAAACAAGATCAAACAACTTCTATGAAAAATATATTGTTTCAAAACAATTGCTCATTAGGACTAGTAGACAATTACATATCAATAGTCAGTAACAATTGCTATATTGAGCGAAATAGATAGTTGGACCATACTACTCTTTTCCTGATTTTGCTGTTCGGTCAGATTAAAAAAAGTTGAGTAATCTTGTGAGGAAGTAGAAATTTCATCGAAAGCTCCTTCGTTAAGGGAATATTTGGACCCTCCTTCTAGATCAAGCTGGTACAATGTTTCGTGCTTATGAGGTAATGTCCATGCGTGGAAGGCTTACCGACCCAACCAGAAGAAATTATGTAAACATAAAACTGTTTGTAAAAGTCTATAGGAATCAAAATTTAAGCCCGCTTAACAAATATCTAATAAAATTCAATCAATAGACTGATCGAAAACACGTGACTGCTTAGAAGATTACACATCAAAGCGTATATAGGAATGAAATAGACATTTAATGTCTTTCATTAGAGAAGGGAAATTAAAAATTGAGTAGGAACAATTTGCAGTGGTCGGAAAGCTAAATAAGAAAAATATCCAGATGAACAACAGAACAAAAAGAGTGAATATATGAAAACCAATGTGGTATACACAAAGCAGGCGATCCACTAAGGCTGATAATCAACAACAATCATGAGGCAGCACACAAATTTAGATAGTTTCTGTATTTGAAGCTCAACAAATTAAATAATAGGTTATTGAACACAATGACAAATTCAAATGGATTTTCACAAAGCATCCAAAACATAGCAGTGGAAGAAACAGACTCACTGGTGAGTTTTGATAAACAATGCATGTATACAAGCATTTCTGGAGAAGAATCGCTAAGGGCCGTTCTGGAAATCCAAGAGCAAGAGGAGGATATCCTGGAATCACAACGGATCAGGAGGGATTCCTTAACAACACTAATAAACATGATAATAAGGAAAAACGATTTTACATTAAACGGGACCATCTATGAACAAATATTTTAATTTCCAATGGGATCGCTTCTACCACAACTTTTAGTAAACTTATACAGAAACAAATTAAAAGATAACTTCAAGGTCTCACCGCTACAATGCACCTGCTGCCTCTGGATGATTACTTCGTATTTTTGTCACGTTGAAAAGAAAATCAGGAAGAATTTATGAATTTTATATGCCAGAATGATGACACCATTAAATTCAAGATGTAAGTAAAGGTGAGCGATTTCCTTTCCTGGGTAATAAAGTGATTCACTCTGATCGAACGCTCAAAAAAATTGTTCAGAAAATTTTCTTGTACCGGAATAATACTCAATTTCCATTCTCATCAAAATTACAGGCTAAAGATAGGAATAATGAGGATCATGATAATCCCAAGTCTACGTTTAACGGATGTATAATTCTCGGACGAAGAATTGGACATATTGACTAGGATATGCCTCAGCAACTACTACTCAGGCGAAGTAATATAACGAAGCATACGGGACGTGAAAGCCGATGACAGAACGGGGACTACGAAAGAACAGTATGGAGGCAGAAAGATTCACAAAAGTGGATATGCCTATCTTCCTGCGAACAAACTTCAAAACTATGGCGAATATTAAGGAAATGGAATATTCGAATGGCCATGAAAGAAAAAAACAACACTTTCACAAGTCTAAAGACGCAACATGAAAGGGTACACAAATAGGATTGTTCAGGAGTTGACTGCGCCTGCGAACAGAAATATACTGGCGAAACAGGGGGAAAAATTAGCATACGAATCAGGGAACATCAAAGGCTCTGCAGGAAAATGAATACCGAAAGATTAGAATTAGCGGAACACATCGCTCAGGTTGGACATGAGATCAATTGGAAGGCAACTGTAAGAAGGGCCTCATACAGTGAAAACACCAGTAGGCGGAAGATTACGGAAGCCATTGACATCCCTAGGCGAGAAAATCGAATGAACGGAAGATTGGAGGATGGTAGAGTTAGCGATAACTTTGCATACTGCTTAAGCAAACCCGGGGAAAACAAGAATATAACAATATCGGCAAAACGGAGACACTTGGATCAAGAATCTTTCGCTAACCTGAGTACAAGGGATCGCGATGAGAAAAGAAAGGGTGGGGATTATCAGCAATCAAGCGAAGACGTTGTCAGTGGGTGAAATCTGTTCAAATAAACCAGTAT